CAGTTATCAAAATGACATCCTTTTAATCTTATCATATAAAAACTAGTCTACCAATAATTTAACTAATTAATTGACATTTAAAAATAAATGACTTATACCGGTTTTCTTCCATATAAATCGCTGAGTTGTCCAAAGATAAGTGATCCAACAACAGCACCAATCATTTGAATCGATATGCTATGCTTCACATATTTCGAATTATGACAAACATATTCAAACTGTAAATTTTATCAATTTACTGTAAACTGTAAATTTTATCAATTTACTGTAAACTGTAAATTTTATCAATTTACTGTAAATTGATAAATTATCAATATTTAAAATTTATCAATTTTTAAATTCGATGAATTTTAACTTTCATTTAGTATCAAATTTTTTTTCCTCTTCTTTTTTCTCACAACAAAAATTGTGAAATTCCTTTTTAGAAATAATATCAAATTGAAAGAGCAAAGTTTAATTTAGAAAAGATCAAATTTCAAAAACAAAAAAGGAAAAACGCGCATAACAAATTTGGAAATGAAAACAATGTTTGCAAGTATATACGCATTCTTTCTTATCACTAATTTTAATTTATCTAAATATAATTCTATGAAATAAATATTTTAAAAAAAAAATAAAATCTATCGTAAAATTAAAATTTGTGTTATTAGTTTGAAATTAGTTTGAAAGTCATTGTCATACCTCAACATTCATTGACATGAAATCATATTCCAATTCAGGTTTGCATGTTTCATTTCCATTTAATGCATAAATTTGTTTACAAATATCAGTTGAACTCATTGATGAATCAAATTTATGAGAACCACAACTTTTGATAGTTGGTGCTGCGCCTAAATTTTTTGCAACGAATTTGAAATATAAATTAAAATATCAATTGAAATTATAAATAAAAAAAAGAGAGTTAAAAAAAAGAGATTGTTGTAAAATTTTCATTTTAATTTATAATTAATACATATGCTTATTTCGTATTTTAATTAATTTTATCAAAAATTTGCAATTATTCTTGGAAACAAACCATTGAAAATACAACAAAATAAAATTGGAAATAAATTTTTAATTTTTCATTTTTCAAATTTTTGACAAAGATAAATTTTGCAAATTTATTCATTAAATTTACTTCAAATTATATTACAAAAATTATTTCATACCCGCATAAACCATATAAAACATATTGCCAAGTTGTGAAAGAACTAAAAAATTCTGCAGTAATACACAAGAAAATGGTATAATATCCAAGTCGTATTAATTTATCAATGGTAAATACTTTTTCAGATGATATTTGTTCAGTCATCTGATATCCACTTTCTGTAACTGTGTAATAAATTCGAAATGAATATTTAATTTCTAAATTTTTTAAATTTCAACATTTAACAGTTAACGTGCACAAAATTATTAATTGTCATTATTTTTGGGAATAATTGCAACTAAGAATTTTT